CAGTACTTTCTGCTGAACATTTCCAGCAAAAATCGTAATCAGTTATATTCAAAAAGAGATTGATTTGAGCCAAATCGAAACTCCTCTTAAGGTACATCTATTAAATAGGACATCGGATGAAAACTGTTGTCCTGCTTAGCAAAATCTGCGTTGGTTACTGATCTGGCTGCTGTCATGCTTTACAAAAGTCTACCATCAACGTCCACAGCATGAACACGTGCATCTATCGAAGATCTATACGATGGAACTTTGAATCTGTGACAAAATCTGAAACGGTTGAACGACAAAACAGGGGTGTCAGGTGGTGAAAAAATTTCTTAATATAGTGAATTAACTCTGTTAAAGGCAAAACACTCTGATTACGATAAAAAAGAAAGAACTCTATGCTACCTTTTTATTAATCGCAAAGAAAACGGCTGTTTTCTAATGGTGTCGATATCTGAAAAGGGAATGACGAACTATTACATGAGATCGAGAGAAGTTCCAAGCAACGTTTGACAGATAGTATCATGACTACGAATTAAATTACCATCGTCGCTCATTATGGTTCGAAGGTGAAAGAGAGGTATCTGTGGTGAAATAGTGACATGTACATTTACATCACGCTGTAATTCAGTGAACGGGAAACAGGTATCATACGTTAATCCTGCCAAGCAGTAATTTCATTATCATCATCACGTTATCATCATTATTTTCCACCTAAAATATAAGATAATCTGAACAAATATTATTTTATTTGATATCATGATATCTAATTCGCATTGCTCTATTACATTTATGCTGTTTTTATTGTGATAAGACGGACATTTCTATTCCATGCTTTCATTTGTTCATTTTTATTACTGACATTTGCATTTTTGCTGATTCCATTCAGGAAGTATCACAGCTTATCAAGGCATTCGAGATTACGACTTCCCACGATTACAAGCAGTTGAACAATCGAAACAGTTTGGCTTCTTCACAGGTCGTATGAGTCGTTCGATAAGCTTAGCTGCATCGATCCATTATACGTTCCTCGCACGGTCTGTTCAACTTCAGTTCACAATCTTTCACTTAGTATTAAATTCTTGTTGAAGTTTATGCTGAAAAACAAGTTTCTTCGATGATATTGCTAGAAAATGAAGCTCTAAAATTTTCAGGTTAAGAAATCCCTGACATTTCCTGGAAATCAATTCCTGAACACTCAACTAATCTCGGGACTGTGTGGTACGTTATAATGTGTAAGTGCTGCTTAAGTTTAGGTCAGCCTCAAAATTTGCTCTAAAACTAATAATTAATTTAAAATTGGTTCAAACTGTTAATTACATCTATAACAAACTACTTCTTTAATGAATTTCGACACATTAAGAAGAATCGATCAGT